AGGGTGCAGTTCTGCACGGGTGCCTGAGTTCTGTCTCCCAGGCAAGTGGCCAGTTGCCGCTGCCCCAGTTGTACCACCTTTGGTGGGGACTGGGCCCAGTGGCCTTTCCGCCTCCTACCCATGATCCCACTGAACACGGCCCTGGGCCTGTTGCACACAGCTGCCAGCTCCGCCCGTGGGCTGGCAGCCTCTCCCAGTTCCTCTCTTGCCTGCTGCTCTCCACTTCCCTCCATCTCATTTCTACTCCAAACAGCTCATCTCCAAAAAGAAGGGACTCCCAGTGAGTGGCTTCTGCATTCATCCAACAAACGATTTCTCTTCCAGACTTTATCAGCCTCTTGTTCCCATCTCGGTCAAAACGTTAGCCACAGCAGAAAAAAGAAAGGAACCTCCAGAAGAATATAGCACCACATTGGGCAAGAGCAGCTTTACCTCTGCCCACAGCCTGGGTGTGGCTGTCAGTGGACGTGGGGGCTGGGCAGAAAGGCCTCTCCCCTTAAAACACCCAGCTTAGGCCCTTGGAGGCCCCTCACTACCCCCCGCCCCTGCTTCGTAGCTGCTTCCTTGGCTCCCCCTTGCCTTTCATGCTGGGGGCTCTGCCCAGGGCTCAGCTCCTCTCCACTGCCCATGCTACCATCCGTCTGCAGAGCAGAGCCCAGGTAGTTGTGTGCCTTGGGCCCAGGGAACCTTCTGTCGGCCTGTCGAGACAGGATTCAGCACCTGGCTCTTGGGTATGCCTACTAGGCGGAATAAAGGACAAAGATTTGAGGAAAAAAGAAAAGGTGGGATGGGGGATCCTTTCTTGGGGTCTGAAATGGTCCTTCTGCTGCATTGCTCTGTATAACTCATTTACAGAGTTGGAGACACCACTTTATCAACGAGTATACCAGTTCTCCTGTGTGTCTATGTGTATCCATCTGTCATTCCAAATCCTTCCTCATGGATGAGGTGCCCTCTGACCCTCACATTGGCCAGCTGAGCCTTTGATGTGATTTGAGGCCTTATTTTGACATAGGAAGTGAAGGGACTTTGTTTCTGCCATAGAAGCTTCATTCATGTACGTGGGGTTCCAGCCTGTCTGAGGTGTAAGGCTGAGGTAGAAGGAAGGGTTCTCTGACGCCTGTCAGATGACAGCTATGGCCACAGTCCTCACTCACCTGTCAGCCACAACAAAGACGGTCCCTATTCCCCTGCCAGGAGACTGAACAAACGTAAGGTTTATAATAACAGCTATTACAATAATAGTAATAGTAGAAATAGTAGTAATGCCAGCAGCTAATATTTATTGACTGCCTGCCAGACACTATATTTTTTTCTATTTAATCCTGATCATAACCCTATGGGATAGAGACCATGATTATCCCCAGGAAATCAAAGACCAGTAATCTTGCCAATATCGAACAACAGTGTGTATGCACATATATACACTGGAAATGGCCTCGTTCCTTTCCTCGTAAAACCTTTGTGAAAACTCCACGAGCACTGCCTTTCCTCTCCAGCTGAAGGCCCAGCTTCTGTTTGCAAGCCTACTCTCTGGATCCCGTGAGTTGCGGACGTGTGGAGAGCATCAGTTGACATTAATAGCTTCGTGTTGATATGTTTGCGTGTGTCCTGTTTCCCACATTGGGGAATAAACAATGGTCAGGGACTTTGAGGTCTTTCTAGCTCTCTAGCATGTGGCTCAGAGAGTGTTTCCTGAATGGTCTGGCCAAGGCTAGGGATGGCATCTGCTAGGGGACGCTGCTACTAAGCATACCGTCCTATTATCAGAAATATTGGTTACCCAGCTTCTCTGTCCAGGCAAGGTTTTATACAGCAAGTAAAACAAGCCGAGAGATGACAATGGACTCAGTCTGCAAGCAGCAGGGCTAGAAGTGAGCAATCTGATTGTGGAAGAAACCAAAACATGCTAAGTAGTGAATCACAGTCTAAAAGAACAAGCAGTCGGGGCCATTTAGCATGGGACTAGGCGACCCCTCATGCTTCCACAGGCCTGAAGACTTCATCGTGGGGCAGTATTTTTTATTTGTCAAACATACACATGTCCATGCACACATATATATGTATCAAATTATGTGCTGGGCACCATTTAATCACTTTATTGCTATTAACTCATTTAATCTTCAATAGCCCTGTGAAGTAGGTACTGTAGTTATCTTCATTTTACAGATGAAGAAACAGACACAGAGAGGTAACTTGATCAAGAGCCCAGAGCTAGGAAGTTGCAGAGCAAAGATTAGCACCCAGCCACATGGCACAATAATTCATTATGATGACACTTATATATTAGGTCATTAAATATGAATTGTCCAATTTCAAGTCAAAAGTGTAGTTTATTACATCCCAAACACGAAGCAGTACAATTAATCAAAGTATGCGCCTAAACTATCGACACAGTTTTGCCATCTTAACAATAGCATGTTTATTGCAGCAGCGAAGAAGCCTGGAGAGCGAGTGGCGATGAAATTGCCAAAGGCATTTCCCATAGCTTGTTGAGAATTGAATATTTTTCCTTGCAAGAAGTGGTCGAAAGCCTGGAAGAAGTGCTAGTTAGTTGGTGCAAGGTCTGGTGAATACGGTGGATGACAGAGAGTTTCCAAGTCCAGCGTCTATAGTTTGAGTAGTGTTGTTTGTCATCATGTGATCAAGCTTGTCTTGCAAGAGGATTGGCCCATCTCTACTGAGCAATCTCAGTTGCTTAATTGCAACAGTCCTCATCATTTCATCTGATTGGTTGCAGTAGACATCCACTGTAATCGATTGACCAGGTTTCATGAAGCTGTAGTGGATAATACCAGTGCTGGACCACCAAACAGACACTATTAGCTTTTTTTTGATTAATATTTGGTTTTGGACTGTGTTTCGGCACTTTATCTTTATTTAACCATTGTGCCTAACGCTTGCGATTGTCATAAAGAATCCATTTTTTATGAGTGATGAGAGATATAGGTCCTCTTTCAATCATCTACATGTGGCTATCCAATTTTCCCAGCACCAGTTATTCAATAAGGATTCTTTTCATCAGTGTGTATTGCTGTCTACTTTGTCAAATATCAGATGTTAATGTATGGATGATTTTATATCTGGGTTCTCTTTTCTGTTCCATTGGTCTATGCCTTTATTTTTGTGCCAGTACCATGCTGTTTTGGTTACTATAACCTTGTAGTATAGCTTAAAGTCTGATAAAGTGATGCCTCCAGATTTGTTCCTTTTGCTTAAGGTTGCTTTGGCTATTCAGGCTCTTCTCTGATTCCAAATGAAGCATAGAATTATTTTTTCTCGATCTGTGAAAAATGACATTGGTATTTTGATAGGGATTACATTGAATCTGTAAATCACTTTGTGTAGTATGGACATTTTAACAATGTTAATTCTGCCAATCCATGGGTATGACATGTTTTTCCATTTGTTTATATCATCTGCAATTGCCTTCCTCGATGATTCATAGTTCTCTTTGCCGAGATCTTTCATAAAAATTAATTCAAGATGGATAGCAGACTTAAATCTAAGACATGAAACCATAAGAATTCTAGAAGAAAATGTTGGGAAAACTTTTCTAGATATTGGCCTAGGCAAAGAATTTAGGAAGAAGATCGCAAGGGCAATCACGGCAACAACAAAAATAAATAAATGGTACTTGATTAAATTAAAAGGCTTCTGCATAGACAAGGAAATAATCAACAGAGCAAATAGACAACCTACAGAATGGGAGAAAATATTCACATGCTGTATATCCGATAAAGAGCTAATAATTAAAATCTATAGAGAACTCAAGCAAATTAGCAAGAAAAAATCACACAACCCCATTAAAAAGTGGGCAAAAGACACGAACAGAAGCTTTTCAAAAGAAGATAATGGCCAATAAACATATAAAAAAATGTTCAAGGTCACTAATCATCAGAGAAATGCAAATCAAAACCAAAATGAGATATCCCCTAACCCCAGTGAGAATGGCTTTTATCAAAAAATCACAAAACAATAGATGCTGATATGGATGCGGAGAGAAAGGAACATTTATATACTGTTGGTGGGACTGCAAACTAGTGCAACCTCTATGGAAAATAGTATGGAGATTCCTCAAAGAGCTAAAAGTAGACCTACCATTTGATCCAGCAATCCCACTACTAGGTATTTACCCAAAGAAAAAAGAGTCATTTTATAAAAAGACACTTGTACTAGAATGTTTATTGCAGCACAATTCATAATCGCAAAAATGTGGAATCAACCCAAGTGCCCATCAATTCATTAGTGGATTCATAAAATGTGGTATATGTACATGTGTTTTGACCAAGACAACCCGGATAGGTCAGATGTGGAGTCTTAAAGCCCAGTCCCAACTGTGTCTTCATACAGCCCTAGTGGAGCGAGGATAAGATAAGTTCAAAAGTAATCATTGTATATAGTCCTTAAGCCTTGAAGTAACCTGTTTTGTTAGAAAATGGATCAAAAGCATCAGCCTTCCTTGTGCATCCCACACATACCGAGCACAGTCCCAGATGTGTTATACATACTTAAAGAGAATCCCTGTTTGTTGTTTTGTAATCCATTGTGGAGTGAATTAAAACTAAGACATCCTTGGGTTATATGATCTTCCTCAGTAAAACTTTTAAGTTGCAAACACGGGGATGTAGCTGTAAAGTGTGAGCTGCTGAAATTTCATTCTTCCCGATGAGAAATTGGTCCCCTGAATGGATTGTTCATTTGGCAATTTCTTGGTCAAAGGCTGAGTCTTCTATATACCTGTTATAGCATAAATTCTCACCAACGTAAAGTAAGGGCTTATTTGGGGCTCGGCGAAGCTTTCATGCCTTGAGATACATATAGCTCATAAATCAGCCGAGATGTATTCATCACCTACCTATCTTGTGCCTAGTGGTCATTGATAAAAGTTGGATTCTCTTGCAAGGAGACATATACAGAGAGAAAACTGATTACAAGTAACTGTTTCAGGCTCCGCTTTGAATTTCTCATTTACGTGTTCTTTTTTTTTTTCCTCCAAGGGTCGGGATTACTGTTCGGAAGAAGAGGATATCACATAGCACCGATTCTACCACACAAACCAGGAGCTACTACTGTGTAAATAGGTTACACCCCAGTTGAAATCTTTGCAAAGGTCGGTTCTCTTCAACAAACAGCACAGCAAAAGAAGATCGTTCCATACCGTATGCCCCATTCAATTACAGTGTTTCTTAATGAACTTGCAAAGGAATATTGCTAAAAACAAAAAAACTGTTATCGAACTTTCTTTGTTGCTGCTAGTTAAAACTTGTTGCAACTTTTCACTTCTCTTGTGTCCAGGTATGCAGCAAAATTCTGCAGTTTCACCTTAAAGATATTGTTGATTTTACAGATGCTCTCCAACCTATTTTCTATAAGATGAGGTAGTGGTGAACTCACATATCAAACTTCTCTTCTAGACCGGTTCTGCTTCTAAGACAAGCATCTCCTGCCCTCTCTCCCTCCTCCCCGTCTCTCCCAAGCAGTCCAGAGACGGACTGAGCCTTGCTTCTCACTGGCAATGTTGAGCTTTGGAGATGGGATGGTTGCTATGGCAAGCCTTGTTTCTCTGCTTGGAAGAAGTAGAGAGGCTAGTATCAATTAAAAGCATGTTGTGATATGACTCCCGGAAGTGACATAGGAGCGAGTGGCAGGTTGTTTCATTTAATAGGTATCTTAATCAAGGATTAAGCTTGCAACATTGGCTTTGCTCAGATGCAGATGGAAGTGTGATCATAACCATTTTGAATCCCTCTTCCTCACTTTTTTTTCTAAGACAATAAACATTTTACTGTTTTTATGTATCCTTGTCTTCTCCCATTCATCCAGCTCAGTGTTTTAAGATGATCTTGGGGTGTGGAAGCTGAGCCCTCCTTTGCAGTGACACTGATGATTGGCCTGCGTGGTTCCCTACCCTTCCACCAATAATCTACCAAACATTAGCAGGGTTGTAAGTGGTCCCAAGAGAGGAGGGGACATCCCATGACTTTTTAGGAGGGCCTTGAAACCACGCTGTTCCCCTTCATTTCATGAGCAAATAAACCATCTTATTTCATGATTCTCCCCCTTCAGAATGCTACATGAGCCTTGCCACTTCCTTTTTCTCTTACTTCCAGCACTGGATAATACATGAAAAGCGTTTGCCTACTCGAAAACATAGTACATTTACATTGGTGATGATGTTTGGAGATGAGAAAGCCAAAAACCCCTGGCAGTGGTGGGGAATGTTGACTGTGTGTTCAGTAGAGTTTATTTTTCCATATTATATGAAGAGAATGATCTCTTCTCAAAGACAGAAGTAATATTTTTCACAAATATTGTCAGAAGTAAATAGCGATCAAAAGGAGAAAATAACTTTTGTATTTTTTTAACGTGTTTGATAGCTTTGACGAGGGTTCTCTTTGTTACTTTCAGGGGGAGGGCACCCTATTAAATGCCACGCCAGCAGTCCGGGTCTGGGTTGGTCCCACGGAAATGCAGGAGCACCGTATGTGTCTCTCTTTTGTGGTCGTGAATTTGAAGGGCTTTGGTATCAGCCACACTGCCACCCTCCAAAGGTGGGTAGTTAAGATGTTCCCTGTAAATTTGTCCTTGCTGAGAAAATGAGCCTTGACTTTAAAATCTATCCACATAATTGATGTCACCATTGATGGGTTCATGGTGAGATTCCGTGTCTCCTTCTAGACATGGGGCAACAAAAGTGAAGGGTAAGAAACTCAGTCAAGTGCTGTAGAAAATGGACTCAGATATTGGCAACAAAAATCCCTTAATTCTTTCAGCCAGCAGCAGCTATTTTGGGGAACAGCTGTGGTTGTTACATAAATAGAGATGCAGCCAAAATTTTAGGCTTTTTATCCTGCTTCGAGCAGAAAAATGCAGGGAGAGTCAAGTAGCCTAGGGTTTTAGGTTCCCTCCCCTTGTATGGTTTTTGGCCAAGTGACTAAAATAGTTTTCCACAACTGTAAACGAACTGCTAAGCCCCACCTCAAACTTGTTCACTGGGGACTTTGTTCACTGTTTTAGGGATGACCTTTTCCAGCATTTCTTGTTCTTATCAAGCAAGAATGAGGCAAATGCTAAGCGTCTTCCATCTGATTCCTCTACTTGATGTCTCAGACGGTGTCTTCCCGAAAAATCACCACCCTCTTACTGAAGAGGAAACATGCTCATCCCGTTTTTCTCACAGTCACGTTTAACATTTTGACATGTTCCACATGTACATAGAACCAGGTGTTTCTTGGGAACCTGACTTTTGAGTGTTTAATAAAACCGAAAGTGTCGTTCCCCTGAACTGGTAGCTTTTCACCTGGAGCTCTGTCTCCCGTGTTTAACCCTGGACACATTTTTGATGTGCACAAGTGATTTCATCTTCAGGCACATTTGGTATATCTAGAAATAGATCCGAAAAATGGGCTGGTTGAGTGGGTTGGCATGAAATGCTTGGTTATGTTAACAACACTCAAAACTCTGTTTTCCATTTGTTGGTTTTAATCATAAAATTGTCAAGTGATTTGTGTTTGTACTTTATCTTTTTTATACCTTCTGAAAGGATCTAAAGCAAAAATATTTTGCCTTTTTTCCCCCTGTGTATCTGAACATTAAGTAGATTGCCTCAGATTCAACGGAAAAAATAATCCAATGTACATGCTAGTAGATCCTGCCGGTTATCTCTGCAGGGCTCAGGGAGGTGGAAGCAGGGAGGCAGGGAAGTGGTCTGGTGGGCAGAGGTAGGAAAATGAAGAGAAGGACACTGAGAGGATTTAGCAGAGGGGGTTAATAGGCTGGCTGCACACGGAAGCAACGGGAAGTCCAGCTGCCTGGTGGCCAGTGGGTGGGGCAAGGCAGTCAGCAAGATTTACAGCTGAGCCACTCACGCCTTACTGTGAGCTGCAGAGTTGTAAAAGTTCATCAGTGTACGCCCAGCTTTCTTTTGGTTGGCAGAGATTCAGGACCGCGGAGTACTATTCTCATAACTGAATACGTGTTTGTCGCAGGCAGAGAACCTTAAAAGAGAAAGGCTTTTACCTCGGTGATGCCTCCTAGCCCCAGGCTTGAACAGTGAGCATGGAGTGGTCTATTTAGGGACAAAGAAGGGACAAAGTCCAGACATGAGAAAACCAGGTCAGCCCTCAGAAACAGCGGCAGCCACACACACAGCAGCCTGCTGGGAGACAGGTCTCTCCCTGTCTACAGGGCCCACGATCTGAGCCTGGGCTTTGATGACTCAAATAAGAAATGACCTGACCCAGGAGTAGCCTTGGTTCTTATTCCCCTGCGCTGGCTCCATCCTCCTTCACGCTGCAAGGCAAGGACGCGCCTCTGTGTCAGGGGCTCGGCCGGTGCCAGAAGCTTCCATGCCAGCAACACGGCAGCCCGCAGGAGCCCCCTTCTCGGTCCCATCTGATGTCGTCCCACTTTAAGTTACAACTTTGTCCTCCTCCCAGCCTCATCCTTTTTTTCTCTTAGGGCTGGATTCTCCCATAAGCCTGCTAAAAACAGAGTTATACCTCCTATGAATTTTATCTCAGGTTGGCACGTTGATTATGAGTCCTGCTTAGACTCTGGGCAAGAATTGAACAGAATGTTCCATCTCTACTCATCTTTTTTAAAAAAAATGGCTGAATATGTTGGTTTTTGTAGGAAGAAACATTTTCAAACTCTTGATCCGGGAAAATACTGACTTGGAATCTTGGACTTCAGGACTCTGATATGTTCTTTAAGGAAGGCTTAAAGGAAGCAATTGGTATCTAAGGTTCTCTTCCTCTTCCTCTCACCTCCCTTAAAGAAAAGACATTAGATTGCACTCTGTAATTTTACATAAAATCTTGCCTTCCATGCGTTGCCCCCTGGAGGGCATTCTCAAGAGCTTTATTTCTTTGTACCTCTCAGAAATTGGTCTTCCTGTTAAGTCGTTTAAAACCCCAGCAAATAAATAAATAAGACATGGCGTGGGCCCGGGACAGGCACATTATAGCATCGCTGGCCCGGGACAGGCACATTATAGCATCACCAAGAGGTAGCTGGAAGCGGAAGCTTTGGCCTCTCAGTGTCCCTGTGTGGAGCTGGCTGAGACAGTGGCTTTCACATTGCAGATGAGCTCTATGAATTACCTTTTGCCAGTGAAGGGATGTGTTTTTCAGCAGTCACTTCTACGGGGATAGTGGGTGAATATACTTACCTTTGTGACAAACCTTAGGACTCGCGATCTGTGCCATGTTTCTCAGGAGACTCTTGTACCTTTTCTGGGATCTAATCTCATCTTGGGAGAAGAGGAAAAAGGAACAAACATATGTTATTGATACTCACTCTGGGCCAGATACTGTGCGAGGCATTTTATAATTGTTTTGTGTAATCCTCACGACACTCCATGAAGTAGAGTTATTGCCCGCCATGTTCTAAGTAATACATCTTAAGGACAGAATGCATCTAGCCAACATAATGCCCATGCTGAAAGAAGGAAAGATATCATTCAAGTATTTTCCAATTTTTTTTTTGTATTATGACTGCACCCTTCGCAACACTGTGAAAACAACTCTGTGGGTGTATCTGCCTTCCGGAATCTCTCTTTGGCTCATCTCCAGTTTGATTTCCTCCTGGGGAGTGTTGTCCTGGCCTTCCCCACCTCAGCTGCACACAAACCAGCAGAGGCCACTGGCTAACAGGAGGACGTCAGTGCCCAGAAGGAAAAGGCTTTGGGAACGTAGGCGCATCTCTCCTCCTGGAGCCCTTTCGACATCTGGAAAAGGAACCTGATATTTCTGCAGTTAGATGGCAGATGCAACCAGCATAGGCCTTTTTGAGTGCTGTGATTTCTTTCCTGAGTTCCCAAGTCTTGTTGTTTCATCACAGGCTGCATCTTTTTAAGGTTAAAAGCCTTAACCTTCAGAGGGATTTGGGAGAATCTATTCTCCAACCATGGAGGAAAGACAATGCCTGGACAGACCACAGGCTTGCATTGGCATCCTTCTCATGGGCTAGGTTTTGATGTCTCTTCTTGATCTTTGGACTGAAGATCTATATCTTCCAGGCTAGTTTAAGCACTGAAACTAGATGTGAATCTCTTTCAAGACCTTAACTGTTTTAGATAGCCATATGATGACTTGGATAGTCATTTATTTAAATGACTTGGTCCAAGGTCAGAAGAGCCCAAGAACTCCCCAGAGTTCCTCTCCTTGCTGCATAGGGCACATCCTCTAAAGAAAACAACTGATGTTTCCATAGAAATTGTTAAAGGTGCTGCCTAGAGGGGACCCACCCCCACCCTTACTTAGCTTGAAAAAATCAAAAGAGCTCCTTTGTGTAAAGGGGGTGCTGTGTCCAGTGTTCCTTTGAAATCTGTCCCCAAGATCCTGCTTCTTTCGAACCTGGCAGCTGTCATACTCCACCAAGATGATGTGGGAAATGGTTCTTATCTCTTGGAGACCAGAGAAATTGCTTTTATTCAGGAGATTCACCTCTAAACTGAAAGCCCCGTTCTGATATTTTCTGCCCTCTCTGCCCTGAATTCTCCCTTCTTCTCTTCCCAGAGGTTATTTTTAGCCCAAGGCTTTGAACTTGATTAAGACTTAGAGGCAGTAAAAAGAACATCATAAACTCAGCCAGAGATGCCGTAGGGTTTTGAAAATAACTCTAGAACCTTAGGGGGCCACTTGGCATCGACTCAGAGTGAGAGAATAACTCTTGGTTTCCTGGACTTTCAGTCCAGACCTTCAGGGACTGTTCTGTCTTGACAGGCAAATGAGCAAGGGTAGTTTCACAATAGATTTCAAGCCAGCTTTTCTATCCAAAGCAAGATGCAAATT